CGACAGCGCGTCCGATGCCACCGGAGGCGCCTGTGATGATGGCGGTCCGGCCTTGGAGAGGGAGATCGTTATTACGCTTGGTGGCCATTTTTTGAGTAGTTTTGGGATTCTTGCTCACGATATGGCATTGCTAATTTGTAGAGAGCGTTTGGAAATATGGCAGATGTTTTGGATATCAAAGTAGCCAAAAGAAACAAAAAGGTGAAGTTTCCGGGCAAAATCAAAACTATTGAATTCCCGCTTTTTCTCCCAAACAGAGGAAAGTTTTAGACGCTATCAACTTCTTCCTCTTTCGGAGTGTTTTCTTTCTTTAGTGCGCAGTTTAAGCTTTGTTATCTCTGTTTTAACCTTGGAATGCACTAGGACTACTATAAGGTAAAGAGGCTCTAATTGATATTATTCTTTATACAATGCAAGCCCTTCACGAACAGAAACAACAAACTGTGAATCTGACGAATGAAAAACAAGACATTCCCAACAAAAAGAATACATACACTAGCTAACACTTGACTGAAGACTCAACATTCTTCCTAGTAACCCAAAACTCTATATGCCATCATTCTCTACATTCTCGGGTTTATCGATGCGATGCTCATAAAGCTTGAAGGAATTGAACAAGCCCCTCATGAACTACTACTGCTTATCTCCAAAATGTAGCTGAGCAATAGCGTCAGGTATCGTCGACTTGAGAATGAAACACAAAGCTTGGAAACGTTGTTGTTATGTCCCTGTTAAGGAGGCAGAAAAAGTCTAGAAGCACGGAAAATATCTCTCACATGAAAGTGTTATATTTTGTGCCTAAATCTGTATGAAATAAAGCAATTATATGAAACTGAAGATGAAGAATAGGTTATAGCCTTATAGGAAGCAGATGAAGTAAGAAGCACTAATTTCTATAGCATTCCAATTACCGCCTCTATTGATCGTAAGGTCAATGCGCTTCCAATATGCATGTCGATCCCAATACGCATGTCCAAAACATGTGGCTCAATGTTTGTTGTCAACCCCAACAGGTAGTCTTCTATATAAAGATGAGCTAACCTGATGCTCTTATTAGATGGAATTTGCCAAATGCTTACCAGAAATTTAGTACTCATAGTGCATAATTATAAGAAATGCACATATCTATCCTGAAGAATAAATTGGTTTTTGGTGTAATAGACATGTCATATATTGGTCAATCAAATATAGAGTTAATAAAAACGAAAAATGACGAGAACCCAGGGCCTATTCTGAACTTAAACGAATAAAAAAAGTAGGGTTATTTGCATATATACGCCTTAAATTACAGATATTTGTAAAAAAAATACCCTCCAAATCACAGTATCTGCAAAACGACCCTCCAATCATCAATTTTGGAAAAAATTACCCTAAAAGCAATTAATCATCAACTTTGATAAGCTAATTTATAGTCGCAACGTAAAAGTTATCAACAAAATAGTCAAAATTTTAGCACCAAGTTGATGATTTGTTGATTTCAACGCAATTTTTTCCCAAAGTTGACGACATGAGGGGTAGTTTTGCAAATACTAAGATTTAAGGGGAATTTCTGCAAATATCCATGATTTAAGAGGTGCATATGCAACTAACCCAAAAAATTAATGCAAATAGATTTGTTATGGGCAAACTTCTCATGTATATGATGGGATGAGACGGGTGTGTGCATGTGTGGAGAGTATGAGGCTGATTTATGAAAACTAATGGTAGGATTTGTAACATTTAGAAATGATGCCTTATTCCATCAACAAACGAATATCAGTCAGGGGATCAGATTGTCTTACTTAAGATATTGGAGGGTCATGTTCTTTAATAAAGATGGATGTCGCAAGACCAAATTCCGCCACTCTTCCTTGTCAATTTTTCCATCATGTTTTGTATCAGCTTCCTCAAATGTCTGCAGTGTAAGTCAAGAAAAAGAGTTAAATCTACCTCCAGTTTGATGACAACAAATGCAACAGGAAAATAATTCAGTGACAGTAAGCAACGTTGACATACTGCTGCTTTTTAATATGAGGGTTTACTCAAGCTCGAGCATGTAATACACCAAAATTTTAAAGAAATTTAACATGCATTAATAAGGATTAATTAGGGATAAGTTAGAGGGTTGGGTCTATAGGAGGTTACAGGTTAAAGGTCAGGATATGACTTTTTACTCCAAAAAAAGAGATTTATCATAGAGGAACCTATACCATTTAGTAAATCTTGAACATAAGAAGAGTAAGCATGAACATGTTAAGCAACTAATACAACTGATCCAAGACAAACCATATGACCTGAACACACAAGATTGCCGTCTGTTATCGACATTACGGGTTTGTTTGTGATTTTCTAGTGGCAAGTGCTTTCAACACGCTAATGAAGTGTTTTCACTTAAGAATTGGATGTTTGATGTTCAGTTTCAAAGAGAACTTTTCGGAAAAGCATGAGCCAACACCTGCAGTTTGGAATGCCAAACTTGTGGGTTCACTCAAGAAACAGAAAGCCCATGTATGCGAATTCTCACTCTCCTATTTTTTCTGTCGTGTGATCTCCCATGAAATCTGAAATTCTTACAAGCTTTTTTCTCTCTCTCTTAACTGTTACTTGTGAATCTTAATTCTCTCTCAAATTCATTCTTATCCAAAATCCAAACACAACCAATTCAAATGTTGGTCTTTCTTGACAAGCACCAAGAGTTTGAAGAACCAAACACATTCCTTGTATAAAGCCCATTTCAAGAAGTAATTTTAGTTAAGTCCTTCAATGAAAGCACTGCTCTGAAGCAACACTGGAAATATCTATGAAAAATTGGAGATATCTATGAGGAAATTAAAGGGAAAAACAAATATCAAAGTTTAGAGGAGCTTTCTACACCTTATCAATGATACTCTCTATGACTTCATCAGAAAGGTTCATTCCAGACTCGGCAAGTGTAGCCACTACCATTTGTTTCACCTGCGCACAAAATTATTGGCTGGTGTCAAGCATATAATGAAAAGTTATATCTCAGTGTTTAAGAAGTTGTTGCACTTTACCAAGATAAACAAACACTTCCACTAAGTTCACAATAAAATGTCAATTCCAAAATCAGGCGATGCCAAGCAAGTTTGTGTAGACATCAATCACAATGGTACGACATGACATGCTAACTAAGATATCATGTAAAGTAGACAGAAACATACACAATGCAACCTTGAGAACTAGTTCCTTTCATCCTCAAAATATAAATTAGCTACTATGATGATTTTCCATATATAAATTTCATTGGTTTTGGACAGTAGTTGCATAGAGTTCCATTACTTGTGTACCAATAGTTAATACTCATGAAGTATAAACAAACAACTAGCTTCTGAAGTACTACCAACTAAGTCATTGAAACAGGGAAACTGAGGTTAAATGGTTCATAATAGGGAAGTGAAACATGTGTAGTTTATTGGAAAAAAACTATAGAAAAATAAAACATGGATGTAGAATTGAAATAACTATTCAGACAACACATGAATGAAAATAGGGAAAGTACCTGCTTTCAACTTTTATTTTAGTGTCCAATAGAGCGACGATGACATAAATTGTGACTGCACATCTTAAGCGGATTATTATGTTCCTAAGCGAAATATGGCACACTGCTGCACCTGACATTTGTGTCAAGGTCACTGGTACACAGCATACAGACTGAAGGATTTGCAGTGGACAAAGCCCACTACTGTATCGTGATCCCTAGGGACGGTGAAGACAAGAAAATTGTTTCCATGAAACCGAGGACAGTTTAGGATCTAAGAGCTGTATTTGATAGCTAAACAAATCTTTTGTGTATCCGTGTTCATTTATGGCACGAAACAAAGAGGGAAGAAAAATGATATGAAGTAAAATAGAAGACAAAATTAGTAGAAAAAGGTGAAGCCCACAGTCCAAATGAACAATCTTGAACCTGCAAAGTTCTTTCTGAGGCTTGATCAATGAATTTAAGTGGAGAATTAAGTAGATATAAGCAACTAGTTAACATGCCTCCCTCTAGGAAATAAATTAATTCAAGGATACCATGGAATAAACAAGTCAAGTTTTAGTTAACAAATAAACTTATTTGCGGCTGACTACTTCCAATTGCCTAGGTGAGAAATATAAATTACTTTGCAAATGATACACCATGACCAAGCAAAATTTGGAACAGAAACTTCTGTTGAGCGATCAACCCAAAAATAAGAGACAAAATATTGAATCTGGATGAAGAATAAAAGGCCTGGCTTGTGCCTGGGATATACACATTACATAAAAGGCTAAATGCTGGTCCATACAATATGAGCATTAATACATATTCAGCAGGCAATTCCTATAGTTTAATGAAACCAATCATACTTAGAACCGAAAAGTTATCACTCAAAACATCAAGCTTGCCTATTCACGATCTTAGCCCAACTGAAGAGGGTACATTTTTAATTTAAGGCACTAAGGGGGGAAATTAAGCTTAAACTGTTAATAATCATATATTTTTAACAATTAGAAATAGGGAGTATAAAACCCTATTAAGGAGAGAACTATCATTGAGTGAAATAAAAAGAATATGTTTACAATTTGCAAGGCAGTAAAAACCGATCTACATGAATTCCTTTAACAGATGCAATTGGTTCAGACAAAAAGGATGTTCAGATACATCTAAAACCAAGATTTGGAAGAACATTAATGTCTAAAGCTAACACGTCTTACTCATTTTACATAGAAATTGGTCAAGTGTTGAAAATAAAACATATGAACCCACAAAGAGAATATTTTAAAACTAAAGCTTGGACGTGGCCAGTTACACGATCAAATAGAGAGTAGATAATAAAGAGTAAATAATAAACGAAGCTGAAGACAGTTAAAAGTCTTAGGTGAGAGCCTTTAGAAGGCTTGAGACAATTATTTTAATATCAATCAAGGAAACAGAATAACCTGAGATTTAATTATTTTAAAAATTATTTATACCAAAAAAATTTACATCTAAAGCCTAAGCTATCTTGACAGAAAGGAAAGGAAGGAAGAAACATTCCCAAATGATATAAAAAAAAAGAAAATATACACAGGTAGAAGTCACAAAATTTATTGGAAAACAATCTAGTAACACCTAAGAAGGCTAAAAGAACAGTCAGCATCTTCCTATTGACAGAATCTGTAACTTTCAGTAGCAAACTCATTTAGAGTGGTTTCATTAATCAAACAGACGCTGGAAAGAAGCCTACCAGATCTCTCAGTCAAGGATTTCTTCGGTTTAGGGAATTAAGCACTAGCATCTCGTGCACCAAAAAAAAGTAGATGTACCGAAGTTATCAAGGTATCAGTTAATTGATCTTTACACAAACTTTACTAGATACTGTGCTTCGCAAATGACCCTGAAAAAGTTAGTATGCAGACAGAGGGGCGATAACACTTTATGATGTTAGGAAAAGGTTCCATGTATAATTTCACTGAATTTCTACCTTCTAATTAACATTCATTTGAGTCAAGATTAAAAAAATAAACCGATACTCTGATAACATTAGAAAATTTGATATTCAAGATCCATTCGGCATTTTATAAATAAATGTGTGTGTGTGTGTGTGTGTGTGTGTGTGTCTGTGTGTGTGAATTGGATGCATCATAAGAATAAAGGATAAATTTGCATTCATAAATCAACAAATATTAGATTTTACCTCTTGTCTTTCAATGAATCCTTGTTGCTTCAGATCATACAATTGGAAAGAAACTGCAAATGGTTAATGTGTAAGTTTATCTTTCATCAAGCATATCTCAATTAAACTTCTCTCAGATTAAGGGAAAAAACCAAAGAACAATGTTAAGTATAAGCAAATAAGCTTCCATACCGTAAGATAAAAGCTTTAAACAAAGGTGAAGAAGTCAAATGCACCGTCTCACTCTAATCACGCATATAGCTTATTTAAACACATCACAAACTAGAACAACTAAGACCTATCCCCGTAATGATTTAGAGGTAATGACTATATCATCATTTTAAACGTACAAGTATTTTTTTATGCAATACGGCTAACTAATATAGAGCTGCTTTAGTGAAAAAACCCATGTTTACAACTATTAACATTTATGACTCCTATAAGGTCTGTGTTCTGATAAAATTAGTGGCCTAGATGAAATGATTCAATCAGCATACAGTTATACTCACATACAAGGAACTTTCAAAAAATTAAATACATGGGAAATCATTTCAACATTTTGCATGTTGCTGTCAGCATAAATACCTTCTACAGGTAAAAGATTTAAATACGAGAACTTACTGCAAATGTTACATTCGAGCTTTCTAACTACTATACGCAATAGATAAAATTTATCTGGTCGCATAGAGGTGGCAGTACTGATGCAAACTGTGAAAAAAGAACACATTTCAGCAGTTCCTATTGGCCTACCATGCAGATATTGTGGTACACAAACCAACCAGAACTCTCTCTCCGTCTCTCTAAGAGATTTTGACTTGTTAAATGCTTTAACTAATTCACCAAATGATGCACACAAGATCAAGCATATGGGTTAAGCAATGAACTCGGTAGATGCAGCACCAACAAACTTCAGGCACATGTACATGGACACTTTGTGCAAACGTCCCCCCGCACTTCACACCAATGTTTGAAAAAGCTTTTTTGAAACTCGCTTCACAACTTATTGAAGGGTAAACGCTTTGAAACTCAAGAGTGAAGCTATTTATCCCTTGAAGCTTACACCTCATCGCTTAAAGCACAATTGAAATGTGCAATTTGCGCTTCATAAAACACTTTTATTTTGAAGCACACACTTAAGACTAGATAGTAGGACGTAAAAGGATCTCTAACTAACATTAAAATGCCCCTATATATTTTCAATATGACTATGTGAGTGTAAATAAAATATATATGTTATCCATATAGCTTAGTTTATTATGATTCATTTCTGTACTTCACGTGTTTAATTCTTATTTACTAATCAGGACATGAATGTTATATTTGTAATTGTTACACCACTATATATTATATGTTCATATTTTTTACCAATTTAAAATTAAAATTTTTAAACTTGACTAACATTAAAATGCCCCTACATATTTTCAATATGACTATGTAAGTGTAAATAAAATATATATGTTACGCATGTAGCTTGTTTATTATGATGCATTTCTATACTTCACATGTTTAATTCTTATTTACTAATCAGGACATGAATGTATATATTTGTAATTGTTACGCCACCATATGTTATATGTTCATAATTTTTACCAATTTAAAATTAAAATATTTAAACTCATGAAGCTTACGCTTCACGCTTTGAAGCTTACGCCTCGCTTCATCAAAGAATCTAGCGCTTCGCCTTGCGCTTCCCTTTTTTTTAAACAATGCTTCACACACAACATGCACATGTACACAAGTACACGCACTTCTACTCTTGTATTGCATCTTAGAAATGATATATTATACTTTTGTAATTTTTTAGTGAATCAAATGAATATATAATTTGGTTGAAAGGGTTATTTTGGCAGACAGTAAACATATATAAATGTTCAACAGGAAACTGAAGAAAAAACTTCAAATCGAATGGCTAGGCAATATATATGAAAATAGGAGGAAAAGGTAAACTGAATTAGAAATTCCAAACTTACATTCAATCTTATCGTCAATTGGAGCATTTGGATGGAAAACTGATAGGGCTCGTGCAAACTCCTCAAAACCTAAAATTCCATTGTGTTTTGTATCAAACAAGTCAAATACCTGAAAAACACGTGACACAACAGGGAGTACATAAACACAGCATCATATACAATGTGACGTTTAATAAGAGTTGTATACTTTTCTCTAGCATATTACATCAAAATTGAGAACAGGATATCAAATTTCAGAATAGAATTATGGAAGAGGTAACATCTTCATAGCAGCATTAGATGGATTTAAATGGATATGATATGCTGCATCATTTTTAATATCAAAGATGAAATTAATAAAACAAGTATGATGACCAAGTGAGTAGTAAAAAGGTCAGAAAACTATCCCATGAAAAGATTAACTTGGTTATATCAGCAATGTTGACTTTTCAAATGGGTACTAGCAAAGTGGCTGGATGTCGATGATAAAACTAGGTAATTACTCTACTGCATTGAAAATCTAATATTCATATTTGACAATGTGAATGCTAGTGCATTCAGTGGTACATGATAATGTCACGGGACAGAGCGATGAGGAAATTTGCTAGTGCGAAGTGCGCGAAGAAGAAGAAGACAATGTCACCGGACAAGAAGAAAGTTCATTTTGAGAAAAATCATAGAACACATTCAAATTTAATCAATTATAGTTTCAGTTGAAAATACCCGATCAGCAAATAAGCTCTCCTTTTTGTTAGTCTTGAATAATGCCAACTGGAATTCTTCCTGCAGCACAAGTAATTAGTTAACAATAACCACCCAGATACCGTCAAACAGAAGATCCTGCATCATTGAAATAAAATATTGATGTCTATGGAAATATCGTTATGTGTCTCATTCATGCAAACTCAAACGCTCAAGCAATATAGTGCTGGAGAAATCCAACTATGTACGCATATAAACCAGTACAAGTTATTTAAAAGATAGTGCTTATGTTAGTGAATAAGACCAATGCCACAAGCTCCTGTGTCAAATGCTATATGATTGGATTTAAATTCCACTATTTCCCAAAACGACATAACATTTCCAAAGGTTCTCACCTTGTTGATCAGCCCGTCGTCAATCACAGCACTGCTGATCTTTTTAAACAACTCATATAAAGCTTCTATTTCACTTACGCTGACTGTAAACCAAAGAGTGTAAATGATATAGTAATTTGATAAACCACAAGGCAATTAAAGAAACAACTTTTTTTAAGGATAGAATGTAACATACACACTGTCTCTCTTGCTAAAAGTTCAGGATCTTCAAGGCCCTTGGGCTGCCTGCCTATCTCAAGATCGCAGCACTTCAGCAGAGCAGCTAACAAATGCTTAACTCCCTCTAAGAACTGCAACATGATCTTTTTTTTTTATCGATATGTTTCCTGCTCATCAACACGCTCCATGCCTGCAGTTGATAATAGGAAGCAACAATCATCACCTTAATTCCAAAAGACAAGCCAATTCATCATTAATTCTGATAGATTAAGGGAAACTACCTCTTAAACATTTACAGCTTCTATATTAAAGCAAAGAACAAATTCCCTTTCTGTCTGAAACAGCAAAATAAACATAAATCAGTCAATTACAGTTCCTTTTTCTCGGGAAAATGGGAATCATACTTTCTAAATTACAATATTCTCAGAATAATTCGAACTTTTCCGCAGAATCTAACGCCTTTTGAGTCAAAAATCGACAGCAAATAATTGAGCATAAACCCCTAGAGCCTGATTAAATTTGACAGAGAAAAATCAAGACAACCAACAATTTGAGAGGAGAAAGATGAAACTCGCGGTGAATAGAATCGATCGAGGTTCAGGCGCTGGAGCTAAGGATCGAGGATCAGCAATTGAGCGATTTGGATTCCAGTTTGTTTCAGATTCAAGGATTTGAATCGCAACCTCGATCCCAATTCCCTTTTCGCCGCCAAATGAAAACGGAGGAAAAAAATAAATAAATAAATAAATTTGGGGGCGAATGGTATCGGGTGATTTTATTGGTAAATGATAGCTCTGCGACGTTTGGTCGTTTTTACGCAGAGAGAAAAAATGGGGCCCTCGTTAACCATGTGATGTGCCTCTATCATCACGTTAATTACAAAGTACTATTGTGCAGTTACGTTACTATAAGTTGCTGAAACTAATCATTAATATTCCAAAATTTTATTAAGAAGGTTTTTTTTTTCTTCCCACGGGATATCCCCACAATTACACGGCGTTTCGTGACGGGCACTAGCCATAGGATTTTCTATTTGCTGGAGAATTCGAATGAATGTATGAGTGGCCCGCTATGAATCGTCCCCTGACAGAAGAGCAACGAGGCCTTACATCGTCTGTGCCAGCCACTCAGGTTATTAAGAAGAGGATTTTAATCATTAATGCAAAGGTTGCCGAGTGTGTGTGGGTGTACGTAAGCGCGAGCTATAAGCTTCAACTTTTGTACATAGTTTTGGAGTTGAGAGAAATATTAGATATACAAATTTGTAAGAATGATACGTAATTATGATTTATCTCAAAAAAAAAATCTAATTACGTATAAGGATCATACGCGCATCGCGTGTGATCAACGCGATTGGGAGGTTCTAATATGGTTTCTACAATCTTTGGTTGAATTCTGAGATGTATTATCAAAAAAATGATACCAATTATTTATTTTTATTTTATTATAGCAGACTAATAGATCTACAACGCGGGCACAATTGCTAAATGAAACAGCCACGTGGCAGCTGTATATCACTTAATTATCCCGCCTAAACGTTTACCTGTGATGATGTGAGCTGTGATCATTCTCTTTGAATCCTCACTTTCCATGAAATCCTTTTCTCCTTCCCAATCCGCTTTCGTCCAGATTCTTCTCTCCTCTGCCAGCTAAGATTTGGCGAATTTTAACCATGTACCCCCCTTCCCACTTCGCAGACTCTAGTCGCTGCACAAATAGGATGAATGAATCTCCCCGGGGAGAGGCTGCACTCATCAAAGGAGGATAGTGAAGCACGTACCAAGCCATCAAATAGGCATATGGCATTGGTACCCTGCGAACGCCGACAGCAGAGTTCTCTCCCCCACACGCATCTTCGACCCGCGCCCCGTCGACGAGGAGAGAGTGCATCCTCCGCCGCGTCCCTGTCTCCGGACTTAAATTGGCATGATTATTTCAAGTACTTATTCTTTTGGGATTAAAAATCGGAATTCGACGGGGTTTTGTTTGTAATAGCCGCCGATGTCATTTTTTGTGTAAAAATCCTGCATTCTTTAGATCATAAATAATCAACTGAGTTGTAATCTCATTATTTCATATCAAAATGTGGTACCATCTACTTCTTTATTACTAAAGGAGAACAATCAAAAATGTCTAATGAATAGTAAATCTTAGGTGAACCAATTAAAAGTAGTCACGTCATACCCTCATACTATTTTTTTGAAAAACCACCCGCACCTCATGAGGCTCCTCATCGCCTCCATCGACTTCTTCAAACCCTAGGTACAGATCTGAACACCAAAAGCCCCATCAAACAACCACTCAAATCCCCAATCAACCTCACGAACTAGGGTTTCATCGAGGACTCACCGTATCGCGATTGAAGAGCAGATTGATGGCGCTTCGATGCAGCAGACAATCGAGTCCAAGAATCGGGTTCCATCGATTGAATCGCTTCCGAGATCGAACAAATCGAAGGTCAAACCCTAATTATATATTACTAGAAAAATTACAGTTTTTTTAGAAATAATTTATTGGGAAAATGGGGGAAGAAGGAGATGAGTGATAAAAGCCAGAGATAAATAGAAAGGAGGAAAGGGGACAGAACCACCGACCGCGATGGGTCAGCACTCTCACGGATCTCAAACTACCCATATATTTTGGTCACCAAAACCTTCGTGATCGCCAGCGCTATATTTTTGAGAGACCTCTACAATCAAATTCCACATTCTTTACAACAATTTCCAGTTATCTCAATGATTCATGGGATCAAAGCATCTAAATCCAGGTATACCTACATCAATTCCGTCATGTTAATACCTCATCTTCTTAATTTTCAAATTTTAATTCCTCATATTTACTTCTTTAAGTCTCTTATCAAATTTCATATTCTAATCCATAAATTTTAATTAAATTTCCTCAAATTATATCTTTTAATCTTTATCCTTAAAATAATCAAATTTCCTATTTTAATTTCTGATTAGATTTCATAATTTAATTTCTACTCAATGAAGCAATCTATTTCAATTTTTTTTTGATTACATAATCATATTTCATCTTATGATCCTTAAATTAATACGCAATTTTTTTTCATAGGTAGTTGACCGCATCAAATTTCATAAGTATGACATTTGTTTGCCCTCAGTTTTGATTGCTTTGGTTTTATTCTCTATTTTGTGGTGAGTAAGGAGTAGAGAATTGTCCCTACCAAGCAATACGAATCTCTTATGAATTTATAGCATGCAGTGTATTTACGATATTAATTTTTTTACTGTGAATGCTTTAGATGTCATACATTACATGGACTGTAGTGGTTTGCCATTTAATTGTATAGATTAGTACATTGCAGGTTATTACTAGGTGGCAAAGATCTGCTTGCAATGCTTCCTACTGGCTTGCAAAAATGCAAGAAATGTTAAGAACAAAAGTAGAAATACACAGCATGCTATAAATTCATAAGAGATTCATGTTGCTTGCTAAGGACATTTCTCTGTGCTTTACTCACCAGAAAGAAACAATAGAACCAAAGCAATCAAAACTGAGGGCAAGCAAATGATATAGTTATGATATTTATGAAATTTAAATGTTTTAGAGAGTCAAATTTTCATTTTACCTCCTTAATGAATGTGAGGTTTTAGCAGATTTCAATGATGTGTTCTGACTTGAAATTAATTACTTTAATGTCAAATTTCTCCCTTCTGTGATTGCAAATACAATGTCCAAAACTGTCAAATCTAATAAAATCCCAGTTACAACTAAGACATGTGTGTAAACATTTGTTTAAGCTTCACTTACATGACCACAAAGACTAAACATTTGTCATTGCATAATAGATAAGGAAGTTTGACTCTCTCCTAGCAAATAAGACATCATAAAAGTGAAAAATTGCAAATTAAGCTTAAGAATTTAAGACAATGATCATAGAGTGTGACCTGTACAAGTTCCATACAATTGGTAAGTATGTTTTCGTAGAATTGGAAATTAGATTGTACAAGTATATTAGCTTTTGAATAATTATGAACATCCTGAGCTAGATCCAGTCCTTAATTTTGGTTTCATTTTCTTCTATTTGATCTACTTTTACATAAAGAATATTTCATTTGTGCAATGGATATTGAAGAAAGGATAAATAAGTTGTTTGTTATTTTTTGTATTATGCTTAAGAATGTCAATGGATTAAAATAAATTAACATAGATTAGTTTTTAATTTTGTTCTTTTTAATTTATTTGAACCGAAAGTTATGTAAGTTGTGTTGCTCTTATCACACAAAAATTCAGTGTATACTGAGTTTTATTTGTTATGCTCATTTATCATTTTTAACAATGTTCAAATATATCATTTATTATGTTTAACATGATACCAAGATCATTTACTATGTTTAACAATGTTAGTTTATAAAAAATCAAACATACCTTTAGTTAAATTATATTCATTTATAAGCCAAACACTGAAATTATTTAAACAATACTAAATGAACTAATGAATCAAACTTGATCGCATATCTGAATGAATAATAAAAAAACAAACAGCACCCATATACTTCATATCTAAAGCAGAATACTTTATTTTGGTAACATGTTTACTATTTTCAGAAAATCTTTTAGAAACCGTGCTTTGCACGGGTTTAAATACTAGTATTAGCTAATACTACCGAATTAACATTGGTAAAAAAAGTTGTTAATAACGCAAAGCCAGATAAAAATCTCTTGATTGTTAATTTAACCTCTTATCAAACAAGGCCTTAGCCAAACTAGGGGAAATGGGGGCATAAATGAGTTGGTTGGTCAAGTGACCGACAAACTTCTTGATTAATTCTTTTGTTGATTTACTTTCAAAATCTTTGATTACTGCCACCATATTAATTGCTTCACAAGTTTTATTATTCTCATTTTATTTCTCATGTTTTTAGGTCATAAGTGAGTTGTGTACTTCCATAGGAGGATATCAATGTTTGGCTTTCAAATAGTTGAGGTAAGTATGGAGTCGCAAAAGATTCCAATTGCTCCCCTAATTCTTCCATTTTATATTGCCCGTAGATCTGGTTATCCACATTATTGAGTTTTATATTATCTTTATTCACAAATTTTATTTTATGTAATAAATGTGTCGGTGATTAGACTTCGAATATGTAGATTTTACTCATTATTTGGGTTTAAATTAGTTTAGGTAATTAGCCTTCAAAATAGATTGGTTAGGGAGTCTTCTTATCTCAAATAAAATACCATGTTCCCACCAAAACATGAACCATATCGGGTTAATTTCTTTTTAGAGATGGCTAACAAGATGAATGTTAGTCTTGAGAGTGTAGACCCAAAGCTGAATCAAAAAGACGAAGAAAACAATTCAGTCGCTGGCCGATCGACCGACAGAGGAGGTCCGGTCGACCTAACATGATGTAGAAACTGAGAATTTTGATATCTCTCTGACCGGTTGACTGACACTAAGGCCCGGTCGACCGAAAACATGCACGCAGCAACCCTGTAAAATCAACGTTCTGGCCGGTCGACCGACATGCATGTCTGGTCAATCGAAATTGGTTTTCCAGTTTCCAAATTTTTTTTGGAAATCTGTTTAGGCTAGGATCCTATATAAACTCCTATATGTTTCTAGGGGTTATTACTGACGAAAAATAGGGTTTTTACGTCTCTTTGAGATCAAATTTCCTAGAGAGAGAGGCCTATTATGAGCATTGTAATCTTTTTAATTAATCAAAAAATTGTGTAGTGTGGCTGCCGAGGACATAGGCACACTGTTGAACCTCGTTAAATTTGGTGTGTTCTTTCTTGTTTATTTTCCTGTA